AATTGTAATACATTTTTAAAATTTTTTTACTGTATTATGATATATTTTTTTCATGGCGGGGCGATGACAAACAAGTACCTTGATTTCTTAATAACCATATATTATATATTGATGGTATATAATTGCTACCGGTTAAACTATGTATCTTAATCTATGACTGATCTACAGCTATCATACCTAACTATTGAAATTTTTTTCTACCAACAGTAATAATAATAATAATAAAATTAATTCGTGGATAAATTTAATTTAAAAATCTTCAACCACCCGAGGAAGCGAATACKTCTTGATTTTAAATGTACCTACTACAATAATATTATAGAATAGAACATGAGATACGAACGCCATTCTGCAACTGTAGAGGAACTCCATTATTATATTTTCTGCTTGATATATTATTATAGTATTCTGTATACATACCTCTATACGCTCTTAACATAATCTCTACCGTATAAAGTTATAGTGTTTATATATGGTCTCCAATAGTCAGAGATTTGTAAAGTTTTCACTATGATTCATCATTCTGCGAATAAGTCCATGTTTTGTGTAGAATTTTGTACGTGCAATAGAAAATATAAACTGCAGCGCGCACTGCTCAGTGCTCACTGCAARCACCATTGATCRCCACAGGCATTATATTAAATAATATCTACCTYTTTATTTTGAAAAGTAAAAGAGTTGGTCGGTCATTTTATTTTTTACTTTGAAAACAATTGATAGCCATTGACGTTATACAACAAAATGCTATCTACAGGTTATTGCAACTAAAGTTACCTGGGATATAACTTCGTAAAGGTTTATTTTACAAGAATTTCATTTTTTATACTTTCTATAAGATTTCCAATRGTTTGTAATCGATTAATACTAAATTAATTTCATATCAATTGCGAAAATATATTGCTTATAACTTATAAGTTATAAGTCGCGTGTAGTTAGATACTTTAATGAAGCAATTTAGGAAACGTATAGATTTTGATCGATCGTTGTTTGATTCGCTTTAACCCGACTTGAAACTGAGTAACAAATGCATACAAATATTATTATTATACTGAAAAATAATAATAATTATGTGTTTCTAATATCTACTCATTTTTAAACCCTGACAAATTCCCACTATTATTAAACAATTACAAATAGTATACATTTGTTAATCATCGTGATAAATACAATCATTTCTACATTTTAATTTTTAAGTAATAATACTCGTGAGAAATATTCACATGTTATAAAAGCTAGTGGATCTTCAAATTAACAAATCGTGGAAACAATACATAGTTTAATTTCAACACTAGTTATTTTTTTTTCGTTACRGTATGTTATAAATTGTAATATTTATATATATACACTTTATACATATATAGTTATTATATACATATAATATATATTATACTATGAAGTATTTAGTTATATTATATAAAATCAAAACACAAGTATTAATATATTTATATATATATATATTTTTTTTTTTACTTAGAATTTTATTGTCTTAAATTATCTGTCAAAAATATAGTCATTAAAGTTGGTAATCATGTTATACATTTTGTATTACATACCTTTAAACAAACTTAGATACATTACACTATACAACGTATACTAAATAGTGAGCGCCTAAAAGGCCTATTATATGCATATTTTTTTGTATACCACTATAATTATTATTTGTTTAATATTTCACTTTTATAAAAAAATTTTGAAAACCCGATTGCAATATTTTGGGGTATATTTGTATTAAATGTATTACACAATAATAATATCATAGTTTAGTTTTGATATTTAATGATAAAGTATTAAACACAATGAATATGATAAACTTATAGTATGTATATGTTTCATGTTTATATTATGTATTATCAGTATAAACCGAAAGTACATTAAAGTAAATAGAATTGTATTTTGCCGTAAGAACGACTTTCCAATCGTGTCCCGTATATYGAAGTGAAACAGAAGGGGCCGTTTAACTTACCGGTAATTTGAACCAATTTCATAAAATAAATGCCCCGATAATTCGATAGAATGATGTCTGAGCCATTAACAAAGAATCACTTCTATAACGAGGCCACTCTAATCTTTGTTTTGTAAATAATGTCTTAACTCACTAATTTGTTRTACTGTTTTATACTCATTTGTTATACTGTAATAAATTTGTTTTTCAGTTATATCTCTTATGTAATACTGTTTACTAATATCAAAATGGCGTTAATTCATAACTAAATAAATAAAATTATTATGCATTTATAATAATATAAATCAATAAAAAAATAAATATTTCTTTAACATGAGTTTAATGAATAATTTTTTGAGTATAAATACACAATTCCATGTAATAACACGTGGTCGTAGTGTTATGTTTGAAAACACAAAAAATTATAGATTGTAATATATTATTCGTAATCGGTTGACATCACGTAAATGCATTGTCGACGAATTGTCGCRTGGCGTGCATTTCGTCAATGTCATTTCCAGATTTACGTGTTTGTGTCAATGTTTAATTTTCTACCGATATATCATAAAATCATAATATAATATTACAAAATATACTACGAATAAAATAAACGATGAAATTGTATGTACGGCCAGCGAATCAAGTCCGTTTCTCTGATCGTAGCAACAACATATATAACAACGCTTACAGTCGTGTTCGACTATGATTAGACTAGGACACTAGGTRTAATAATATTACACTATACCTATGCATCACGTTGAGTGAAAAACAAATTACATTAAAATATTATACAGATATTTTTTCGATTTTAAGTTATACAAATTGTTTGCAAAAAATCATAGATTATTCAAAATAATTAGCTTCATTTTTTTTATCGTCAAAACTACGAGTTCATAATTCAAATCTTTAGAGCCAATCATTGTTGTATATTATACAACAATACAACAYGTTAAACTTACTTTCGTCGTTTATGGTTATTAGTTTATGATACAAAGTGAAAAGTAATGGAGAATATAGTAAATTGCAAAAAGTTTAAAAACTAAAAAAAAATATGGAGGAAGAAAATATCAAGTGAGTTAATACTAAAATTTCATCTCAGCGCGTGTTTCTGTAAATTTATTCGAATTGTATTCTATATTTGAAATACACAATCATGGTATAATAATTGTAGTACAGAAGCAGTATTCCATTCCTATATTATGTTCTATTTAAATATAATAACGAATGAAATAACTAACCTCTCAATAATGAATTAAATTTTAACAAATAAATAAAATAAAATCAATAATTTGTTACATATTTATTCACTATTCATCTAAATACATCTCGAAAAGCGTGACCATTGAACAACTAAGAAAAATCCAAAATTAACTTTAAAATATACCGAGTAATATATGATGTTTAATTTCTAATATTAGAAAGTCATCCTTCTGACTTCAACTACAACTAAAAAGATTTTAATAATATCAGAAAAAATATAATAAACAAACCAATACATTTTTTAATTGGTTCAGAATTTAAAAATAAATATAAACTCAAAAGTGAGTAAAATGTTGATAAAATAAATTAATATGAGTTAGTTAAATTAATTCGACGTTAAAAAACGTTCATTTACAACTTTATAAGTTTGTATATAGTTACTGAACGCTAAAAAAATCTATTTAGAATAATTTATTGAACATTTCATTATTTCAAGTACGATTAGTTATTGTATTTAAAATATCAGTCTATTTGACCATTCCGCGTATCTCTCTATCACCTTATCACGTATAGATATTTTTACTGTTCAATTTTTTAACCGCGAAAACGATACCTAATAATATATTGATTATATAGTTCTGGTAATACATATTACAATATTTTCAACCATAAATATACGTTACTTATGACGTACCTAACGTAAAATTATTGGTAATATTGTGTAATATTCGTATTTTACACGTTGAGTAAATTATTATCGTGTATGTTCTATATCTACATGAATTCTATTGTTATATATTTTTTCGATAACGATCAACGAGTAACGACTACGACGAAAGTTAATAAACTGCAACAAATATGAAAATAACAAAATAATAATGGTGTGTGCTTTTATCTTAGTTGTTATTCATTATTATTTATTACAAATAAGATTATAAAATATTTAATATAATCAATCAAAACTGAAAAACACGATTTATATTTTAGCAATTTGGAGTGGTTGAGAGAGGGAGGGGGTTGAACCATCAAAACTCCCCCTTGTGCACGGGCTTGTCCATACTCGTCTAGCGAAGATCCTTCAGATATTATATCATCAGATTTTAGTTTACCAAGAGGAACGAGTTTATAGAACCGTTAAAAAATTGATGTACATTACTATACAACGTTAAACCCCTGTACCTATATAATATATACAGCTAAACAGCTTTAGGAGAATTGAGTATAATGTTACCCCACTGACTCGTTCTATACATCGTTGCAATATACCTATAAACTGTAATCACCAGGTATAAATACCGTATAAAACTGTCTCGCAAATCCATTCAAAAAAACCATAATTTACACCACTGTGTGCTACACATATTTTATTTTGTTGGAATCTCTATTAATATTCTGACGGAGCTATGGTGGGGAGGTTAGGACATGGTAGCTTATTGAACTAATGCAACTGCAGCAGTCGRTACCGAATTTCTAGATACACAGCATACGAATTGTGATCACCGTGGTCAGACCCAGTTATTATAATAATAAAATACAACAATACCTATAATGCAGGTATCATATACGACCGTACACATTATGACATAATAATAATATAATGTTTGAGCAGCCACTATAATATGTACAAGCCAAAGGGTTGGACATCGAAACGCGCAGTGGTTRGGGTCGAGGTGTTCCACGGTACTATTATCACTGGTACACGTCATTATTAATATATTTTACGACCGGTGCATCGACAAAGGGTGGTGCGGGGGTGGCCGGAGAGGATCAACTGCAGCGCAATCGGCGCAGCCCGAGGATGACGGCRGCGGTGGAACAGTATTCAACACATGGCCGGCGTCCTCGTTCTCCGCCGCCGAGTGCCCAAGTGCCGCAGACACTCGACAGTCGCCGACACACCGTCACGGAACGAGCTCGCGTCTCGTCTGTAGCTCACAAGCACGACACATCGTCACCGTCGTTAGCCGAAGTGCGTCGGAAGCGCCAATATAATAAAAATAATAATAATATTATTAAATAGTATTAGTAGKATTTTCGGTTCTCGAAAGTGTCGTCTCGATCACGGGGATCGGTGCGAATTTTTTATCGTTAAATTAATTTTCTTTCGATTTTTGTGGTTTTTTTTTATGTGCTAGAAACGAACGCAGCAGTATACGTCGTCGGTAAGTTAAACATGTAATAATTTTCCGAAAATATTCACTGGGGGCCCAACGTATTGTAGGTTTATTATACGAGTAGTTTTTAATTATTATATTGTCACCGATTTTAATCCTTAGATGTAACCTATACCGTCGTCACCGTGTAGAGACTTCGTTTTCAGATTTTTGTAATTTATTATACTTATTTCCGATATTAAATTGTCTCTGGACTATTTTTATTTTGTTCACGTRTGACATTMCAACTCTTTTMACGTCTATATAATTATTATTGTCAAATTTTTATTTGTCACATACCTACACTAATTGCTTTAATTATACTTTATAGAGAGACATGCTTAAACGTATTATTTTGTAATTATTTTCGTTTGTGTACAAATTTGAAATTAACTTTTGAATTTATTATATTTGAATGGATGCAGTGATGCAGATCACTCGGTTTCACTTGTGTGTTCCAATCACTCGTTTTTGAATAATAATATGTGCCTATATATATTATAATAATATGTGAAATACAGTTTACGCAGTTGCCCTAAATATATTTTTATTAAATATAATATTAACGTACTATTTATTTTAATCATTGTTTTGTACGATCCAGAATTTTAAAGTTTCATATTTCGTGATTCATATAAAAACGTACCTACATAGTCAACATTTTTGCAAGGCTTGAACAATTTTTACGTTAAACGTTGGATTTAGTTYATTTTTAAAAATTCGCTGAAACCTCCTCTGATATTTTTTATTCTTTGTATACTTATACTTGTTGTTATATACACACAATAAAACAATATTGGTTACTTGGGTGTATAAGGTTTAAAGTTTTCAACGATTTTTTTTTAACGCCAAGTCTGCGGCATCGGACGTAAAGACTAAAGGGCAAAAGGCCATTTTCTCCCCCACAGTGGATCAACAAATCGCGTGACACTCGGCCTCGGTGGCTATTCGGTTTGCACGCGAATATTCGTCGACTTTAATTATATCGCGGCGTTGCGCWCGGAATATTAATTACAATTTCAAGCCTTGATATAATATATTATGAGTTGTGTTAGAACGCGTGGTAATCCTCGTCCCTGCAGCGATGGTTTAATATAGTTATACAAAATCCCGTAATAGTCCAAATGCGTTCATGTATAGTATCATGTGTACGACGTTATATAAATTGCAAACAACACCGTACGTATAACGTGGTGTTTGCGAATATATAAAAGACTTATTGGTATACGTGCCGGCGAATATCGCAGCGGTGAGCGAACTAGAGATCGCTGGACGACACGCGCGAAAATCRACGCGGAGAGTCACGCATTGCGGACTTATTGCCAGATGTCAGCTGTAGGGTAACCATTTGCCGTGGCGCCAACACTACCTCGCCGCCATTTGAACCTCAGACCTCCACCTCACTCCTATCATCCGCCATCGCCACGATCGCGATAAGCCTTTTTCGAAAATTCGAGTTTATTTTCATTAAAAATGTATATTATATGAATATGTAGGTATGTATTTTTTTCCATTGAACAATAAAGCGCTCCAGGTTAGTTTCCATACGCGTGCATTAGCGTTTTGCATACAATGCCCGGCTAACCTAACCTTTACGATTTTACCACATTTCCATAACGCGTCGCACTCTGTACATGTTATACCTATATAAACGGATATTATTTACGAGCCTATTGACGTATGTTAATATTGTAAATACAAAAATCGACCCCAAGTTGCATATAATGTAGGTAATAGGTATAAATAACAATAATATGTACGAGAGACTTATTGCTAGCCGCGCGTGGACAACAATCGATCGACTGTACTATACGGCATACGCACAACCAACCTACCAATACCCATATTAAAATAATAATAATAATATTTCAAACGCGCGCACAACAATCAGTTTGCCGACGTTCGTTGCTATGTATCGTGTATGCGTATACGCGCGCGCGCGCGTGTGTGTGTATGACAGTATAATATTCTTATTTGACGAGGAGTAAGCTACCACCTAGAGGGTGGATTTCAAATATCATTCATGTCTACGTATGTAATACGTACTAAGAATATATATATAGGTTTACGTCGTTGRACATGCCCTGGGTAGATATTGGAAAATGATAAACATTTATTAGTTAGGTATGTCTTTAACTAAAATACCTAATCGAAATATAACATAATACAATGTCAGCTGTATATAACACAGCAATGGCATTTGTACGATGGCGAATGTAGTCTCTAGTCAGTAGGGTCATTTATGGCGGTGTCTTTCTTCCACACCGTGGACACTGACGACAAAGCGGCATATTTTGAACTCGTGTAAACTTAAAATACGAAAAATATTACAGAAATAACACCACGCAAGTGGAGACACAGTGAACGTAAAGTAAATTTACGCAATACCTATAGTATATATTATATTTATTTATTTATTTATAATAATTAAACGAACAAAGTTATTATTATTTGTGTGGCATACGGTGCACGCTAGATAGTGTGCCGTTCCGAAACAAATTCATCGCACGATACTGCAGTTATAATAATATCATATTAATATACCTACTTGAGCAAGATGTCGTTCACAGTCTGGATTTCTGTGCGCGTACAGTTCTACTGAGACTTCTAGAT